TTCCCTGCCTCTCTCCTGCCGCCTACGTATCTACCCGTCTCTTATCCTCTTTCGCTCTTCGAGAATTCTCCGTATACCTCTCTTTGTCCCCCCTTCAATTTTTGCCACACTCTCTCACGCTTCTTCAGATCTCTCATCCTTGTTCCTCATTCTCTAGCTGCCTTCTCCTATCGGCATCCTTATCTATCAATGGATGGGTAGCTTCACCCGCGTTTCGCTTGATTCTCATCGATATTCACCTGCCCGTTCCGTCGCATACCTTGGCCTATCGCCCGCAGGCGGCTCGCTTTTAATGGCAGCACCGTCGCTCAACTCACTCGCGCGCCTTTACAAAAGTCTTATAATTTTATGTCTCGAAATGCTCCCTTGATATTTTTCCAACATCCGTTTAAACAAAGAGAAGAGGCTCACTTTGAATCTGGCCGATATACCACCGTGGCAAGATCATAAAAAGCCGTGTTATATACGCACCGGTGTACATTTAGTTTTCTGTTATAGCTGGTGAGTACTTCTGTTCCGCGCTGGCTAATTAAAAGGCCCCCCCCCTCTCTCTCTCTCTCTCTCTCTCTCTCTCTCTCTCTCTCTCTCTCTTTTTTCGTATCGCGCACCGTATTGTCCAACGAGAAGAGCGCAATTGATATTGCTGCTTGAATCGCGGCCATGATACTCGAAATTGGTACTGCGAACAGACAAATTAATTTCGTCCCGTCGTTCAGCCCTCCACATGTTTCAATGGATTATACGACGCTCACTTTTTCCCGCCGTTTTAAAAACGAAACACACGGCCCTCTGACTGGGTGTCTCGATTCCGTTAACAAGCTGATTTTCCGTATCTCTGTTGATTATTCCATTGCCATGCTGTAACTTACTCCGTCGAGGATTGCAATTAATTTTCCGTCGAATGGAAAACCAAGTACTCATGCTTTGATAATCATCGTAGGTACAAATCGTGTGTTCATGAAGTACGGCAGGCAACTCGGCAGTCATTGCGCTCGAATATGCTACCTTTTCCAACGCCGCATAGTTTTCAAGCTCGCTTTTAAACGGATGTCGGTGAGCAGGTTCGTAATGAAATTATGCCAACGAAAAAGGGTTAACAAGTTGTCCACGAGACAAATGAATTCGAAGCACCAAACATCGTTCTGATTTCCACACTGGGAGAAGAATGAACCAACGACCTCGACATGAAAAGGAACTCTGCTTTTCTCCGACCTCCAGCTCCTCTTGCCTCTAGTTCCCTTATTACAAGAACGCATCGAGAGATTCAGGCGACGTAGCCAGCTTTGTACGGACCAGCTAATTATCATTCGTGCACGGTTTCAGCGTGCGCGCGCTAACGAGTCGCGTTCCACCGTAAATGGAATCGCGGTATATCTGGTCGGCGGTGCTCATGCGCATACGTGGTTGTGGCCTAGCAGCCGTAGGTACGTAGGTACGTAGATGGTATTTTCTGGTGTAATTACCGGGATCATCTGTCTCTTGCCCGGGGCTTGTAGACGAGAAATCTGGAAAAATAATTTGTCAAGTGAAAATCGTTTCGATTGAAATTCTCTTGGTATGTCTATGATATCAAGCAAAGAAATGGTGACTATTATCGTGCACATCTATTTATGCATTCCGAGGAAAATTACATGAAAGATTCATACGCGTGCATACATAAACGAGCTTTCCCTGCTACCTTTTTCCTTCTTACCTGGCTTTCTTTTTTCCTCCCTTTATTTGCTCCCCTTTTTAATTTGAACTTTGGCGGAGCAAGCACAGAAGCGAGGTACGTGTCTTCACGGAGAAAAGCTTTGTCTTGGTCCTTTTTTTCTACCTCGGACTACTGAATACGCGGTCCGCCAAAGGAACAGTCTTTGGAATGGAAACAAAGAGCGCAAGGATAATCCTAACGGAAAAATACAGGTTTTTAGTTAAATTGCGTTGAAGGTCTGTGTTCTGGCGTGAGGGGTTCGGGCGTGAACGTGATTATTCGCGGGATAGGTCTGTTTGCCGAACACTTTGTGCACCTCAAAAGCGGGGAATTAAATCGGGACGGATAATCGAGGCCATACATCAAATAATGTTTGATGCGCGAACCGAGATTGACTTTGCGAACGTATCGTGAAGATACGTTTGCGATTGCGCCAAAAAATCGAGACAAAAGGACGATGAACCTCGTTACTGTACTTCTACTCATTTATGAGTCGGTAAACTAGCCGAAGTAAAGAAGTTACGGCGCGCATGATATAAATTGATACCGCCGTTTTGAATGATAAATGATGTACCACTATTAATCAAATCATATGTGGTAAACATGTGCGTGTATTTACAGCTCACAATGCGCAAAAAGTATGAAATAGTTGGAAGTAGGAAAAGAAGTTGAAATCGTAATTGACCGATATTTATCATGTGCATAAGATCCATTACTGAACCGAACGTAACGAGGTGCAACAGAAATTCTCTTTACCTTGGCGGTAGAATTTCAACCGTCAAAAGGATTACACATATCAGCTGGTACAGCCTATTTTCCATTCAAGTATCTGAATTTTATACGTTAGATATTAACCAAATGAAAGAGACTGGATTATAAAGAACGCAGCTGACATCCCTTTATGTATCTTATAGTGTGAAGGCAGGTGCTTGTCACTCTACACGCGACTGAAACGCCGTGTGGAGTCTCATTGGTTCATCGTCACATGTCTCATACTCTGCTTCTGGGTCACGTGGATGTCTACCGAATGACCCCTCCAAGATTGCATCTCTGACAATCACATTTTTTACCTTTTCCTCCTTCCAATAGTAAGAAAGTCTCATATCGAAGATGACAAAATTGCTTTGATAAATAAAAGAAAAATCGTAGGAACATCTTCCTGTTGGAAAAAAAAAATGTTTCCCCGAGAAAGTAGCTATGGAAGAGAATAAGATAAGTGTAAGAAAATTCGAAATACCATTCGTTTCTCGATACAGCGCTATTTCGTGTTCAAAGTTGGCAGAATGATTATTTTGTTGGCGACATTTATCGTTTATAGCTGAACTGATATACCGGCAGACTTTTGGAGAAGCCATGTGGGACGGTAATGCATTGGAATCTGTAAAAATAAATCATTGGTCGGATCGGAATTGTAACTCAGTCGATACTTTACTTACATTGCCACGTAACTTTTCTTTCGTCCGCCGTTTACGTTCCCACCAGTTGTGTTCTGCCTCTATACAGTTTTCTACATGAAACGCGGAGAACAAACGGACGTCAGACCGCGAGCCCCTGAAGAAATTAAAACTCTCTTCCCGGTTTCGTTCACCTCTTCTTCCTACCGACGTGTATGAACGATACATCGGAAATATTTCAAGCTGTTGCCCCTATCAAAGTTGTTGCACTGAAAGCAAAAGGAGATGTGAGAAAGAGGGAAAGAAAGGAAGATAGATAGATACTTCGCCTGAGGAGGTGGCGGTAGTGGTCTGTTCTTGCAAGTGGGTACGAGTGAACAGCAGAGTACAGGAGTTAGGCGTAGCGGTTGCGGGAGAGGGGACATGAAACACAGTACAGGAGAAAGAGGAGGACTAAGGAAAGAGGAAGAATCCCCCGGAGGAATTTAATGCATGGATGAAGCCGTACACCATGGAGGGGATACGTACTTCTGCGTGTATACCGACATATGTATACCTGTCTTTCTATATAACGTAAAGTAAATAAGGTTTCCCTTTTTCGTTCTCTCGATTCGCTCTCTCTCCCTCTCTTTATCTCTTTCAAGTTGCTTGCCTTTCTTCGCTTTACCCCGAGAGTTCCCTGTTGGTTCCTTGCCTTGCCATAGCTCGAGGCAAGTTTTGAAACTTTTAAGCGGATTTCGTCTCGCCTGTATAAGGATGTATACGGCCGTCAATCTTACCTCGTGTAAAATTGGGCATTATTCCCTGGTGCGGCGTATTGTACAGCGTTACGTGATTGGCTACGTGGTGGCACGCGAGTGCACCCAGCTGCACACGCGCGCTTCTGCATGAACAAGATACTAGGCTTGGCCGACTGGCCTGGCATCGACATCGGACGACTTAATGCTGTGAGCGTTCCTTCGTTCGAGCTTTCCAGGCTTAACGATGCTCTTACGTGGAAGAATGCGCGGCATTATTTAGTTATTGCGGCATAAGCTGTCGGAGGTGTTTGGCTGAATAATGGATCACGCGTGCTTGAAGGCGAAGTAAAATATTTACGATAAGCGGTTCCCATACGGTCACAGTGATTAAGTAAGATTGATAACATCTTCTTGAATTCCTTTTTTCAAATCGAGTCGCTATAGTGTCGTATACATACACCAGTTGATCATGAAAAATCTCCCTTTCCACTTTTTCTTTACTCAGTGATTATGAAGAAGCATTTGTCAACGAGGATTGCTGGCTCGTGTTCCCTTTGTCTTTCTTCACTCCGGAGAAATTTATCGTCCACGTTTTCTACAACGCCCCAAATTTGTGTATTTTTTAAGTAAAATCCACGCTGCATACAATCGCAGAAAAAGGGGATAAATGAGACATGTTTACGAGCGTTAACCGCAAAATTTTCTGAGCTTTCCTTTATGCGGTGGCCGTGCGGGCGAATATTCATTGCGCGGCTTTGGTGCCTTCATTTCGAATCGGGATCTATGGAGAATCAAGGGTGCTGTAACAGTTGAGCGGTCAATTGGACGCTCGGTTTCTCACAGATTCCGATCCTTCTAAACCGTAAATCCAGCTTTACCGTACTGTGCCACACTCGTGTTCTCGTATGCGTATGCGGCTTAGTCCGATTGCGACAAATGAATGCGTGAAAGATACGGGAACGTGAGACGAGATAAGAAATAAAGTGATGAGGCAAGAAAACGTTAGAGAAAGGAACAAAGTGCCATCTCCAAATGCAAAGAAGACTAAAAACAAAGCTGAATAAAATGAAAGACGGAGATTAACTTAAAGATTTGAAAGATTAGACGCATAAATTGTATGGTAAAATAGAAGTGTACAATGAGGTGCCACTCTTGGAATTTAATTACTGTAACCAATTAAAACTCGCTTCTTACTACCTGTCGTTTCAGGAAGACTGGAATTAACCAATTCTCACAAGTCCAACATTCATTCTTATATCTTCTCTTTAAATTACCTTTTGCCTAACTGGTCTCCTTGAAACAGAGTGGTGAAGTTTTCCAAGTTTCTCGACTTATCTTCGACATTATCAAATACTATTACTCAACTGCTCGTTAAAATGTCGAAAAATTCTTCTTAACTTTTCAAGATTCCGCCATTTATCTACCATATCAAAAAGTATAAAACCACACGGCAAAAAGAAAACCTGTAAGTAGCGAGAATCATCAGTATGAGAGATAGAAGCGCCGAAGAAAGAAGAATGTACGAGAGGAAAGGAGTAGTACCATTTCGAAGAACGGCACGACGGCATGGTACCTTGAATGCCTCAGCGCGCATCCCACAACAGTTTGCGAAAATTACTGCTGTCATTTGCCGTCGGCTTTGTTCTTACCGTTCTTTGGTATTAGTGTGTTCGTATACATATACACGTGTACTGCCACATGGACTGTATACATGTAGGGATACAGAGGATCGGGCCTTAGTACACATGCATACATAGGCAGGCGTGGTATTATTGCGAGCGAGCATGCTCGAAGCAATTTCCGATCCGCCTTCCTCGCTCTATCCTCTCTGTCCCTTCCTCTTTACACTCCCTCCACTTCTATCCCCTGAGCCACTTCCTCCGCGTCCATTCTATATCAACGTCCTAACCCCCTGAATGCATCCGCCAGTGTGCACGTTCATCCCAATCGGTTGTATTTGCACTTAATTGCTTCTAGTAAGGTATTATTACGGCACGTTTAAAAGTGCGCGTTGGTCCTTTGCATAGGAAACGAAGCAAGGCTCTCATTATTATGCCGCGGATATTGTTCCAACAGAATGAAAATGGACATTGTGCGCACAAGACCTACGACTGGCGTTCTAGTCGATGAATGTATGTCACGTGACGACTGTTATATTTTTACTTGCGAAATCTAACCATCGTTCGTTTTTTTCCTAATACACATACGAATTCAGGAAACCGATAGTGGATCAATATCATTCTTAGAAACGTGTCGTTGACCGGAACCACATTTTCGTCTACCATGATGTTGCCTGTTAAAAGGTAATTAAAACGAAATGAGAATGCAAAATTAGTCGAAATTAGCATGAACAGATTTGGTGATTTTATTTACCCAGTTGCTGGCGTCCATATTAACGTATTATAATTCATGTATCGTGTGCAGTTTAGTCGGTTTGCAAGAGTAATTCGTTTTCTCACCCTATTTTATGTAGCATCGCAGCCAATGAAATATTTCTCTCGCTCGAGAACGTGGCCGTCCATGCTTGTAAAGCGTTTAATCGACGGAAAACGCGCGGGCGAGACGGATTCGATTAAAATTTGAAAATCCCGCGTTTCCAGCTGACAGCGCCAAATTGCGTGCGTTCACTTGTCACCAACGAATAAAGGGAACGAGATTTTACGTTGTCGCTTGACAATCTGTCGCATTCACCTCTGAAATTGATTAACTATATTATTACGAAGTTGATGTGTTTGTACGCATAGATTATGCCGATTCAATGAACTGTAACGATTGTTCAGTGTTAAAAACTTGATTATAACTTTTTAAACAGTTACTTTAATACATGAACTATAGTTACCATTTTCTGTAAATCTCTGATACCTCGGAATATATATAGTTGGCAGATATACTACCAACTTACACATTTAATTGATTTTAAATGGTTCAAAACACGCTTTCTAATCCTCAAAGTAGCATAACCTACAAATACATCAACCTCGTTATTTTATTACCCACAAACATCATTTGCCAATTTATTACTTACATACCACCTCGAATCTCAATTTCTCCTTTAAGTTTTCGCAGCTCATATCTCACTTTTTCAAGAATAAACGAAATTGGTAATTTTATCAATAATGATAAACAGCGTAAACACTGCAATGATTGCAGTCATTAACTGAAACTAATCATATCAATAAGTTACATTGGATTAGTCTAATTTATTATTGAGATTTATACATTATTAATATATAGTTACCTCATCCCATAATTTGAATTATAATCTCACGTCTCTCGTGAATTAAAACGTTACATAATAATCATTTCACGGGGAGTGATTCGCGCGCCACCAACGGACGAATCGGGAATACACTAGGCATTTTTGTCAAAATCGTTTGTTGATAACTTCGTTTCAAAAGCCGTAATGAATTCTATACCTTGAATGGTAGATGGGAAGGAGCAAAAACGTCCGTCGATGCCAATGGGGAAGCATTATATCGATTCTTCCATTATTCGTTGACTGATCTAACTCAACGGCTCTCTTCGTTCGTTAGCCGACGCAAATTTCACGATTAATTCCAATATTTCACTTGGCATCCTATCCTCAATTAAAAGCTGCCGTCGCTGTTTTAACTGCACCGTATTCTCCACTGAAAATCCGTTTCAAGTGTTCCATAGCAATTCCTCTGTGAAATACATCCGTGTCTATGTGTGTATTCGCATTGGACACAAACGATCTTCTGGATGTGCGTCGAGTTACGAACGATATTTATACCATACGAAAGTATACGTTTATCCACGGATGGTAAAATGTCATCACTTTTAATTCGATGACACGGTTAAGAGGTCTCTGTGATTGATAGTTAAAACTTCGATACAGCTTGTAAAAAGAGATCTTGGTCCAGGATGATCGTACGTCGCATCATGAAAAAATATTTAAAAAATATGTCAAATATAAAGCTTCAGATGGTAGAATATAGAGAACGGATTCGAGACCTATGAAATATTTAAACGAATTCATATTTTCAATTTTCATTTTGCCCAACGACGTAGCTTGAATTTCGATATCCCGGTCAAGCGTAATAAATTACAATGGTATTATCGTCATCGATCCGCGATGAGATTTGGCGATACGAACGATGGAATATTTCGCCCGAAATACACTCCTCTGCATTGACCTTAATTTGTACGGTCGCCGGTGAATGTAGCAGGGTGGAGTGAGGGCAAGAAATCCGCTTTTCCGCCGGCGGAAATTCGATTTTTCAATTTTTATAAAATCCGCTCTCGCATAGTAATAACACGCACCTACCGATGCAATTTCCGGACGAAAATAGGTTAAGTGCAGTTGCTAAACTGGATCGACAGATTTGTTGTTTCGCGCGATTCACGTACCCCTTCTACCTTGTATACGTTTCCGTGTACATTCGACACGTGAAATAACACAACCGTAACTAACTGAAACGGAAAATCTCAAGTTGTTATACTGTCACGCCGGTTTAAGCTTTCAACTACTTGGCACTCACCTGAATTATTAATAATAAGCTTTCGCTAACGTTAAAATGGAGACAGTTAAAAAAGAAGAAAAGAAGTACCCTCTATCGTCGCTTCGGTGTACTGTTATTCGCAAAAGTTTGCGGAGATGGTATACACTTGACCCGATCGTGCTTACCGATTGTTAAGATCGAGTCGTTACCGACTCTTAGTAAGCAGGTGCGCCATCTTTAGTCGCGTCGCTCGCTGAAAATGAGCCACGGTTCATCTCGAGGAGATCGTAGACAAAAGTTTCGATGATTGGCTGTACGAACGTCGAGTAGCTTGTCTTTCTTTTTATCGACGTCTTCTTCGAATCCCTTTTAAGTTTTAAATTTTTCTTTCTCATTCCTCTACTCGATATCTTGAACAGTGTTAGTCGATCGCGATTCTTATACACCATTCGCGCTCATTAAGTGTACAGTTCGAAGGTAGTCGCGTTTGTTCGGGACGTTTCGCTTCGTGAAGAATAAAAACTGGATACCGTTTTAATTATTCTGAAATCGGTCTGTTCTTACCCGTTATATTCTAAATAAGGTACGTTCAGTTTAAGGTTTCCTATAGTTTCAAGAATTGCATCATAGTCCGGCAACATGCGACTTTCAAGTTATATATTAAATAAAATCATTGTTGTTTCTGTTTTCATGAATATGGATATCGTGCAAAATATCGAAGGGAGGATTACACGATCAGGAAGGCGAATAATAACCACCGATAGAGTCAAACGGAAAGTTAACATTATCTTGTGCAATACATTTCCTGTTACAGAATAATAACACAAACGGTTAAATCGGTCGAATGTGTTCCTCGTAAAATAATAGATCGAGATGGTTCCTTCCATTCTCAACGTCGCTACAGTCACCGATCAAATTTGTTCTATATTTATAAAACGGATACGACCGGCTTACAGTCTGTTTCGATTAAACTGTTTCGCGTATATTTATCGGTTTCATTAAAGCGATTGTAGTTCCATTTTAAATTTTCATTAGCACGAAATATAGTGGATCCATTCTACAGCGCCATTTTTACCGAGTCATTTTTATCGTTCGTCGATACATAGTTTCGGACATCCTTTCTTTTTTCATAATTTCACACATTTTCGTTCCTGTTCTTAATATACCGTCTGCAATACGATCTCCATTTATTTTGTCAAATTTTTTTAATTGTCACATTCCCCGATTTTCGTCGAATTTATTCATCGTGGTCGTTAGTTTGGAATTGTGACTTCTAAATTATCAAACCGCCTCGGTGGATAAATGCTTAAACCATGTAGCCGGTAATTCAATCGTAACGCCATCATCGTCGGATGATTTTACTTTCATCTCATCTGAAATTCATGTTACCCCTCGACGTTGCTACAGTCGAGCGCTGCGCATGGAGGTTAGGACAGTGCGTTAAATATTGAACAACACGCTCAATGTTGTGCGATTTCCAAGAGTTATCGATCATAAACACGTTTGCGACCACTATCACTCGTGACTCTGTTTACAAAATCGAGAGGACGGGACACATTCGCACGTGTGTGCATACGCTTGTGAAAAGTGAGTTAGTGCGAATGTGTGCACGTGTATAATGTGCGTGTCCTATACGCTCGAGATATGGGCGAGAGAAAATAAAACGAAGCAGGGAGAAAAAAGTGGGCAAATGAAATCTGTGTGCTACTGGTCGATAAAGAACAGCGAGGGAATGACGTTGATGAAACGTTTCGCGGCGGCGGACATGTAATTCTACCTCGATGAATCGGGATAAACGCTTTTGCGGGTTCGATACTTGTATCTGCTATCTCTCTTTCC